CTGGTCCCGCTGGTGCAGGTTAGCAGGAAGCTCTCCACACACTCACCGGACCTGGGCTAGGACTGGGTCTCTATATCACTTCTTGAAGTGTACTCTTTTCTTGAATTTTCTTCTTTCACAAATATCCAACTATCTTTAAGAGGTTCTTTCTAGCTTTTGTGGCACTTATTCTTTCATCTTTTCCTTAAATGTAATATGCAAGTGATTCCAAATTTTGACTCTTGGCTTTTCATTTTTCATGTGTGACTCTTAATTCTATTATTATAATACTATCACTTAAATGCTGAGACTAATGAGGTCTCTAGCCCAGACTTCTGAATCCCAGCTTTATGAATCAAATTAGTGTTAAACCCTTTTATTTGAGTATCTCATGTGAACCTCAAACCCAACCCAGCTCCAAAATGAACTCGTTTCTTTTCCTTAGAATGCCTGAGATTACCTTATTCCTCCTCTACCTGCATCAACAATATCTGCTTAGTGGCTGAGCTATAGATTCTAAACTATCACATCATTTTAAAGTATTAGTTTGCTCTAAAGAGAACATCAATTCAGACCATTTTTTCTCTTAACTTCTTTTTTTTTTTTTTTTGGCGGAACCGGGGATTGAACTCAGGCCCTTGTGCTTGCCAGGGAAGCACTTATTCCACTGAGCCATCTCTCTGACCCCTCTTAACTTATTCTTAACTTATCCTGCTTATATCACTCTAGAATCAGATGCTAAAATAATCTTTCTAGAAACAAATATACAACTTTGTTATTCTGTTGCTATAATTCAAGGAATTAATCTTAAGAAATCCTGTTGTTGTCTATTTCTTACTTGTTTGAAGCCTTTAGGCATACTGTTTTCTTTGCCTGAGATCCTGTCTATGTAAGAAGCCAGTATTTTTCTAGCTTTTTGTAATCAATTCAATGATCATCTCTTCTATGACATCTTTCTAAAACTGAAATCCATCATTTCAAAATGAAAATAATCATATCATTTTGGGAGATTCTACTCTTTTTATTGATCAAAATATATATATTTAAATTAAAAATTATTACTATAAAAGGTACATTAACATCACTTCCTCTTCAAATACTCCACTTTGCTTCAGATACTTGTGTCCAGTCATTCTTCCCAGCTTCTTAAACAGCACTGACAATCCTCCTTCATGAGTATGTCTACAAAGTATGGTCAGAACTATGGTAAAAGCTGCTGCCTAGTGCAATCCAGTGGTAAGACAGGCTTGGAAAACATGACAGTCTCCACCGACCTTACCCACCAGGCCTGACACCATGTAACTTGGCTCTCCCGTGAAGCCAAAATGACCACAAAGGGTAAATTTTTTTAATTGATTCAGGACATAGAGGCAGCCATGATGTCATAACTAAAGATACCCATGAAAGTATTTCCAGAACTGCTTCAAAAAATGGCAAGAACATTAGTGTGTGCTGGAAGTGAGGGAGAGTATTCTGAGTGGGATTAATGTCAGTGTGTTTTACACTATAACACACTTTTGTTCAATTTAAACATCCACCATTAAATCATACCATATATACATATATATATATTTACACACAATCATATATAAAACTTATTTACATCATCTATGATAATTATTGTTTTTATCTTTTAGACAAACACTAAAGTCAGAAAAGACAGGGAGTTAGTTTGTGTGTCTTGATATTCCTAGCATCGAGAATGGTGCCACACAGCATTTGTTTAATAACTGTATTGAATGAGTCTTCAAATTTCAAAAGATGAGTCCATTTTTGTTCATCTGACTAAAGCAGATTTTATTTTTATTTCTTCTTCTTCTTCTTCTTCTTCTTCTTCTTCTTCTTCTTCTTCTTCTTCTTCTTCTTCTTCTTCATTATTTTGTATTTAGGACAGGACATACAGGGTATACAGGGTCTCACTGCATGGATAGGACTCATAGTGATCCTCCTGTTTACAGCCTCCCAAGTGCTGGGATTACAGGCACGTGCCACCATGCCCAGTCTCAATTGCTGTGTCAGTGTGCCCGGGGGCGGAGCCAGCAGGGCAGGCCTGGGTTTTGAACTCCCAGCACCTGCATCTAAGCAGATGCTTTAATCCACTGAGCTATTTGGCTGGTCTAGTAGATTTTATTTGGTTTGATATCTTCCTAGAGTATGCTAGTAGAATTGTCCATATTGGTAGTACATAAACAGCATGTCACCTGCATCTCTTAATTCTTTAAAGATACTGATAAATCCTTTAAGATATAAATTAGGTCTCTGGTATCCTACGTCTAGAACACTGCTGAGCTCAAGATATAAATAAACTTAAAATTCTTTTGAAAAGCTAAAAAGTTTTAAAAGTAAAACAAGGTTTAAAATAAATTATGATTAATTTATTAAATTAATCTAGCTGTACTTGATTATGGACATATAACATATACATATTGCATAAAATTATTTTATTTTTATTTAGCTAATTGGAACAGCTGCTTTTATAAGTTAAATATATAAAAACCTTCAATAGTTAACATTTTCTGAGAAGAATAAAAAATTATAAAATGAGCAAAAATGGTAAAAAAAGAAAAAAAAAACCTTCAAGAACAAGTTAGCTAAATGAAAATATAACAAATAAAAGCAGTAGAAGAGACAGACCTGAATGTCTTCTCCTTGTGGGGTCCACGTCTTCTGTGACCACATCGTGTAATGGACAGACATAGACAAAGGAGATGGGTATGAGAGGATGGACTCAAGTAAGAGTGACACTGAAGGGAAGGGTCCAAGTCACGCTGAGAGAGTCCTGCGCGCGGTGTGGGCCAGATACCATCAGATACATAGCATAAAAAAGAATATGAAGAGCTGATGGCAAATTAATAAGGTTACTATAGGTTAGCATAATCAGAAAAAGACAGTTAGTGTGTAAAAAGGATTGAAATTGTCATAAGTACTATGTGCAGCCAATCCTGAACACTGACGTTAAAGAGAGATGGCATTAGTAAAACCAATTCAAGACATAACTGGGTCAACTTAAAATTTGTGAAAGCAGAATTCTAATTATCTGAAAAATGTTTGAGTCACGATCAAAAAAGCAATAAAAGTTCTTTAAAATAGTTTCACCAAATTTCTATGCTCTTGAAGTTTCCTAAATTAACCAGTACAAATCTGAAAATAAACTATGGCCACTGGGGATATTTCACTGAAAATTTTCAATACAACAACATATGATCATTAGAATACTGAGGAGCACTAAAGATAATACGACTCACATCAGAGGGGCTGAAATTTTACTGTCTCAATCAAAACTCAAATTACCCTCCACTTTACATAAATTTGTGTGACCACATCCCTTCGTAATACTTTTTTATTCAGAAAATGCTTTTTAAAACCACATCGTAAATCACTGAAGTTTCTATTAAAATGTATCCATTCAAATACATTATGAACTATAATAGAGCACAATTTTGGAAACACATTTTCCCCCATTGCTAGTGGATAAGTTACAAAATATATTATACAGTGACTTGAAATGCAAAAGATTTCTTCTCAATTCGGCATGTAAAGAAAAATTACTTTTATAATATTAGTGCGTTAGTATTTGCGCCTGGCCTGGATGACACAAGGCCTCTCATTCTGCGTCCCACATTTCTGAATCACACAGCACGAGATCCTTGAACAGCCAGCGTGCTCAGTTCTTCAGCGGCTCCACCATAGTTTTTAAGTAATTTATGGAAAAACATGTTAGAATGTTAGTTTTTTGAAATTATAGTTCTTGAGAAAAATAATATGTATAGCAAATTTATCAATTTTGTGAACAATGAGAAAATGAAATTTCATTATAGGAAAATGCTAAGATGACCAAAACTTTTTTCCTTAGGAAAAAAGAAACACATCCTCGTAAGAACTATAGAAAATGCCAAAAAACAATGTCATATTTTGAAACTTAACGATTTTTTTATTATTATATAAACATATTTTCACCTATTTAAGCCAGATATTCATTACAGTTACATTCCAAGCCAGAAGCTGCTGATAGAATTGACTGCCAGAAAAAATCTTGGTATCCTCCCCGTCTACCCATCTCTTAGAGAAGAGAATTTAAAAAAAATAAAAGGCATATTAATAACAGGTCAGCATTGAATTATTTATCTTCCTTATTGTATATACAAAATTTCTATAGATACACATTTACCACATTACTAGAATAGCTTCCTCCCACATTAAAGGAAAATTGGTATGAATTGTTTAAAATATTATTTACACGCACTTTCAACTTCAAGAAAAATTTTTTTCAGTAAACATACAAAATAAAGAAAGCTTCTTTCTCCACCAAGTATTTTCCTGTATCATATTTGGTACTAAGGCAATGGTACATGGATTTAAAACATGAAAACCTATTTGACTAACTCACACATCCATTTTAGTGAACTACGGAAGCAGAGCGTCCAAGGCGACTTCCCCAGTGCCACAGAACAAGTTCAGTGGCAGTCAGAAACAAAACAAAGGGCTCCTCATCACCCTGCCAATTTTCATTCCAGGAATGTATGTGACCCAATGAAAACATCTGAAATAAAAAGCTAAACATAGAACACAAAATCCTGTCATGATGACAACTGAACTGGATACTTATTATACAGTTTATAATTAGAGACATTTTTAAAAAGAGGTACATGCCAAATCTGGTAATACACAGTGCACTTATTTGTGGATGGAATGGGTAATAGTTATCTTAGAACCAATAATTATTAAACCATTTTTAAATAGTAAACAAAATTTACACTACTGAAAGGAGATACAAATAAAATGTGCCCGTGATATCACTACTACCAAAGAGTATCAATTAAATAATTTTTTCATTCTGTATGTGAATATGATGCACCAAGAAACTAAGCTTATATGAAACATAAATTTAACCTGATAAAATATTTAGGCGAATAGTTTTAAAGTATATGAACTGTACTTAAAACCTGTAGGCTTCTCACTTCCTTTGTGATCAGTTTTATCATGTACTATTTGCATTAAAGCAGCTTCATTTTAACAGAAACCTACAGTCAATGTCATCTCAACTGTCAGGTCTCCTGTAAACAGCAGTGTGCTGTAAGTACTTGCACACAGTACTGTCGCGAGCAGCCCACCTTTCTGAGCCCTCTCCCCACCCAGTCTCCTCCTTTCCTCTGATCATCACCAGGCTACAGCCAAACACACTTTTCAGTGGTTAACAATTCATTCGAAAGAGAGCTCCTTGTCTTTTACTTAACTACTAACTAGCAACCAGACTCCTCTGTAATCAATAAGAAGACTCTCCACTAACCAAGAGCAGGTCAGGCTGATTGAGGACAGTAAAAGCAACCTCTGTCTTAGGTGCCCGTTACTGTCGTAATTAAGGCGGGGTGGTCCAGCCTTAGCAAATGGAAGAACTTGGCAAAGATGGTGTGCAGTGCTCTGTCTGTTGTTGCTTATAACTGCATATAAAATATTCTTGCAGATCACAATGAAAGAAAAGATGCTTATGAGACAGAATAAATAATTCAAAAGCACTGTTTTCATTGGTTATGTCAAAAATAGTTTTCAACAAATATTTTAAAATTTGACGCATTATCAAGTTGTAAACTATAGAAAGGATTGATTTTTAATCAAACAAATATAATACACAAACATACAGAGATACTCAAAAGCAATTTATATTTTGATTTTTTAATAAAAACCTACTAAAGATACACTGTACATTAAATATAAATAAAAAGATCATGAGAATGAATATAACAGCTATTATATAAAATTTTGTGCAGACCAAAATTCCTTCCCCTACCAATAATGATTTAATTATTACATTTCAATTGAATACATATCTCAAGGTCAAACTGAAATGATAATCTGTCACCAACTTGATTTAAAAAGCCAAATGTATGCCATTCATTGGTAAACATGGTTCTCACCACGAATATGTGATATATATTTGAAATTTTGTTGATTGGTTATTGTTCCCACGTATGATTTTACAGTAGGCACACAGTGAGCTATCAGATCTAATTGTACTTGAATTAACATAAAGCCTACAGGAGAAAGTACTTTGGGAAAAATGCTCCTGATAAAAAGGAACAAAAGCCTTATGATTTTGAGTACTGCATATGTTACAAACAAAGCACAAATAAAAGCTAATCATAATACTAGGGTTTATTAACATCAGAGTCATACACTGTTTTCTTTGGTGAGAGAAGAGACACAGTTCATAAGGTAGGGAAGATAAACATCTACCTACAAAGACCTGAATGCTGCAACTGTCAAAATACAGCATACTTGTTTTAGTGTCTGTGTAGCACCCTGGAAGCAATTGCTCACAGGAGGAAAGTAGGACTGTATTTACTTACAAGGATCTTAGCAGCATTTAATTACAAAATTTATCAGTTGATATGTGTTTTATAAAACATTCAATTTGTTTTGCACCACTTTTCTTCTCTATTAAGAATAAAATGCACCCATTTTCCAACAATTCAGAAAAAAAATTAGAAAACACCTAGCAACAAATAAGAATACAAGGGCTGGGGAGATAGCTCAGCAGTCTAAGTACCTGTCTGGCAAGAAGGGACCTGGGTTTGATCCCCAGTACCGCATGCTGTATCAGACACTGAGACTGGGTATGATGGCACACACCTGTAATCCCAGCGCTGGGGAGGCTGAGACAGGAGATTACTATGAGTCTGAGCTGCATAGCAAGACCTTGTATCAAATAAATAAATTATAAATACATAAATAAATAAAAAAACAATACTGATTCTTTTTTCCAGACTGGATGGATTAAATTGGTATAAAATTAAAAGATTACTTTAGAAACTGCTCTAGACTAAAGTAAATTATGTATACAGTACTTTTAAGAAATTTAAAA